ATATATATATATATATATATATATATATATATATATATATATATATATATATATATATATATATATATATATATATATATATATATATATATATATATATATATATATATATATATATATATATATATATATATATATATATATATATATATATATATATATATATAGCAAGCAATTTATTTAAAACAATATGAAGGGAAAAGAAGCTAAGCAAAACAACAATATTAAAAAAATGAATGATTTATATTAAAATACTACTAAGAAAATATTAAATTGTACTAGAGGCCTTTCAGTATTGATCATCAGTAGTACTATTGCAAATGTAATTATCATGATTTTGATTTATGTAAAAAGTTATATAATGGAATTATTTAATAGCAGTTTTTGTAACTATGAGTTACCATTGTTATGTTATTATAAAAGGAAGTATTAGTTGAATGTGTCATATTTTTGTTTATGCAAATAATTTTCATAGGTCAATAAATTATTTTCATTTTTTAATTCGAGAAAAGTGTAAAGCTGAAAAAATGGCTCCGTAGTTGTTTTGTGTACTTTCTTGCAATCATATACATGATTGTCAAATCTATCTCTTGAATTGCAAGTTTTGCAACTGGAAATATGTCCATTTGTGCGGTTTCTGAAATTGTTTGTTTTTCCAGTATAAGTAGATAGTCCATTACATGATAAGCATTTTAGATAATAAATGACATTTTTACTATTACATGTAATGTGACTTTTAATGTTCCAAATTGTGCCATTGGATGTCTCAAATTTATCTTCTTCTTGTAAATATAATCGGCAGATTTTACATTGACTGTTTTTGCATTTAAATAATCCCATTTTTTTGACAGATGACGTAGAGTAAAATTTTGAGCGCGTAATTTGTCTAAGTAAGTTTGGTGGTTGTTTGTATGCTATTACTGGTTGAATATTTGAAAAAACATTTTTTAATCTTTCATTATCAGATAAACTAAGTAAAAGGTTAGTTTCAGTTAAAATTGGTTGACAGTTTAAATTACTATAGAAGGTAGTCACCCATGAAAAGACTTCTTTTGATTGTTTCATTGGCGCTGGCCCTTGTAACTTTGTATTATGAAATGCTTTTGTCTATTACATTATCAGGGTAATGACACTCTTTTAACCATATTTTAAGTTCCGTTAGACGTACTTTTTCTGTAGCATAATCAGACGTAAAAACGATTATTCTTTTAGCTAGGTTATAAGGTATGTTCTTTTTTATGTGATACGGGTGATGACTGTTAAAGTTTATATAGTCATGAGTGTTTGTTTCTTTGCAAAAAATATCCGTTTTATGTGTTTGTTGTTTTCAAGGATAACCGAAATGTCTAAAAAATTAACTGTGTTATATACTTTTTCATTTGCTTCGAATTCGATGCCAAAATCTATTGTAAAATTTATTGAATCATGTAGTTCTGTAGAGGACATTTGGAACATAGCAATATCTATTTACCTTGGTAATATGTTAAAACCATCATCGACATATCTAAAATAAAACTGTTTAATAATTTTAACTTCTTCTTTTGAAAAATATTTTGGTAAAATTTTCGGAAAAAGCATTGTTTCTTCTAAAAAACCAATTGTAAGACAAGCATAGTCTGGTGCAAAATATGTGTCCATGGCTGTTCCTGTAATCTGGCGAAACAATTGATCGTCAAAGTAGAAATTATTATTTTTAAGAATGAAAGAAGCTGAATCTATGTTAAAATCAGTGATAAATCTTTCGGCTATCAGATTTTTATGTTTTTCAACCCAAAGTTTTAATGCTTGTAAACCAAGATCATGTGTAATGCTTGTGTAGAGATTTCCAATGTCACAAGTTAATATATCACTATCTGAATCCATTATTCTAGGAATTTTTCTTAAAAAGGCCTAGTCATTCTTTACAATAGGAGATAGGATTATGTGAAGAAGTTGGCTTAGATGCAATCTTGGTGAATCTATACCAGCAATAATGGGCCGACCTTTTAAATCTTTTGGTGGTTTTATTTCGATAAATAGAGAGCTAGATTCTTGAACCTTTTTAATAATTTCATTGCATTTATGAATTTTAGTGATTACATAAAAAGTACTAGATTTCCATTCGAAATTTGTGATATAATCAATTTCGTTTTGTATTAAACATTTATGTTTCGCAATCATTTTTGAAAGATTTTTGAAAACTTTTTTTGTCAGAGTCAATATTAGTTTTTTCATATGTTGTTAAAGAAAATAGGTGATCTTGATTAATTAGTTTGCCTTTATAATAGGTTGAATCCATTATAACTAAGGTGTTACCTTTATCTGCTTTTTTAATAACAATATCTTTCATTTCTTTGAGTTCTTTTAAAGCAATCCTTTCTTGTTTTAAAATGTTGTCAACTGATTTTTATTGGATTTACTTGCTCAATTTTTGAAATTATTTTATCAAGTTCAGGTAGAGTTGTTTTAATATTATATTTCGATTTATTTTTTACTATACTAATATCGTTATTGTGTAATTCAAAGAATTTTTCTTTTAATCTGAGTTTACGTGTGAACTGCCAAATGTCTGATTTTATATGTAAAAAATTTGGGTCCTTTTATCAGAATTTGGGTCCGTTTGTAAGAAATGTTATTTGGGAAGTGGTCAGTTGACGACCTTAGAGTGTTTTTTTTTTGGTATTGCGTTTATCCAGTTTTTTGAAGATAAACTTTCTGCAATCTTTATCTTCATTTTTACATTCTTCATATCGGAGAATCAAGACCTTCACGCTTTGTATGTTTATTGATAAAATTTGTCACTTCAGCATCTACGCTGTTTAATGATGTAAAAAAATTATCTCTTCTTATTGAAAGAATTTCGCATTCCGATTTGAGGCGCTGTAAATCAAACTTTTTAATGGCATTTTCTTCATCGGTTGACATACAATGGAAGTTATCGCTTCTGAACTTTCTAGGTATATAAAGTGGTTTTTGTTGTAAATAATCATGATACATGTTTAGAAGGCTTGTGCATCTGGTATGCTTGAAATAAAGATATTCATGTTTTTCAAGAGATTTGATGAAATACTTTTGATGTTGGTCTTTAAATTTTATATACTCTTTTTCAATGTCATCGTTTGAATTATTTTGATAATTGTTAAGCAATCTTTAAGAGTTATTTCAACAATTTTTTTTTGTTATAATTCTTTTTTCTTCATATATATATATATATATATATATATATATATATATATATATATATATATATATATATATATATATATATATATATATATATGTGTGTATATATATATATATATATATATATATATATATATATATATATATATATATATATATATATATATATATATATATATATATATATATATATATATATATATATATACATATATAAATATATATATATATATATATATATATATATATATATATATATATATATATATATATGTATATATATATATATATATGTATATATATATATATATATATATATATATATATATATATATATATATATATATATATATATATATATATACTGATAATTACTGATATATACTAATATATACTGACTATATTAACCCGTATAAAAAATACCAAACTAAGCATAAGTAAAACAATTATTACAGTGATATCTTCGTAGCTAAACTTTGTTTCATTTTTAAATAAAATTATAATTTTAGGTAAACCTAAAATTAATCTCAACTCTCATTTTTATTTTTGTTAAGCGCAACAAAATCAATAACAATCGGATTTTTTTCTAGTAACATGTGCACAACCAAACATGTTCACAACCAAACATGTCCACAACCAAAAATTTCCACAACCAAACATCTCCACAACCAAACACAGTGACTCAAAACAACAAAAAAATGGCAATAAACCCCTCACCACTTTTGTATAAATAAGTACCTTTTGTTAGATAATAATAAAAGACAATGATTTTTTATTTCAAAAGTAAAAATAATTTTTTAATAAAGCTTTTATTTTGTATTTTATAGGTAAAAGAAGTGAAAAAATTTGATATTACTTTTAAAGAAATCTGAAAAATGTGAAGTTTTTATTCAACTAAATTAGAGAACTTGAAGTTTAAATAAAAGTGTATATTTATTTTTAAAATAATATTTTGGCTCAATATATTTCAAATATACTAAAAAGAAAAATAAAGTCAGATTTTTTTGTTTAAATTTAAAGACTTCTCTAAAAAAAAGTAGAAAATAATTGTATTTTTTTTTTGTTTATATATCAGCTAAAAAAATGTTCCACCGAGTTCCACACACACAGGTTTAAAAAAGCTTAATTGAACAACTTTGGTATTTCCCGTTTCAAGAAATACCAAATTACTTAGTAATATATGTTATTACAGGATGTAACAATGTGAAAATTGTTAAAATTGTTAAAATTTAAAATTTAAAAAAAAAGATAAAATTTGAAACAGTGTAAAGTAAAAAAATATGTAATGTAATTTAAAATGGGTCTAATGTATTAGCTTTATTATACTGATGGTTCTTAAAAACGATAACAATGAAAAGATTAGATCTTATCCCAAGTATACGTAAATTAGGAGTTGATAAATTAAAATTATGGAAAGATTTACTTAATGAAATAAAAAATAATGAAAAAATTTGCAAAGAACACTTAAATAAAGTTAAGCTTGCTTTAGTTATATTTATTTCAAAGGTGAAGAAAAAACTAAAACAATGTGGACGAAACTATGATACATTTATACAAAAAGAAAATTGTTGGCTTCAAAGAAATCTTATGAACAATAAAAATGGCCATTTTGGTTCTGGAAGGCCCCATAAATAATGGATTGTTCTTGGAGAGAGAAGCAAAAGAACAAAAATAATGAACTAGCCACTGAACATCATGAAGCTCTATTTTTAGCTTCTGCAAAAAGTGCAAATGCTGCTGGAGAAAAAAAAAAAGCCTCTGTTTTAAAAAGCAATATATCTGATGTTTTAGAAATAGAAAAAGTTGATAAAACTTTGGATAAAACTTTTCCCATTAACATGAGTGTAGAGGATGCTCTTGCATTAGAAATGAATACTGATCTCAGCGATAAACAATATCAAATGATAAGAAACTCAGCTCTTGTACAAAACGTACATATTTATCCTACCTTGCACGATATTTTCGTGGAAAAATTGAAATGTTATCCTGAGAATATACATTTTTCTGAAATTTCTGCAAAGTGTACTCTTCAAAGCATGTTAGATCACACTGTGAGTAGAATAAAAAAAATGATTGAGATACCTAATTTTGGTCAAAGTGATGAAATATTTGGAGTTTTATATGGAAAGATTGGTTTTGATGGAGCATTAAGCCAAAGTATTTATAAACAGAAATACGATAGAAGCAACGCAAGCATAGAACTTAAGCATGAAGAAAATCTATTCAGTACAGCTTTTGTGCCTTTATTGCTCAAAGTAGAAGATGGCGAAATTTGGAAAAATGAAAATCCTTCAAGCCGTCACTTTTGTAGACCTCATCATCTACAATATATAAAAGAGAGTCCAATTTTATCCAGAGAAGAAGAATCAGATCTAAAAAATCAAATAAATACCTTAAAGACGTTTTGCAAAGTTTTTAATATTGCAGGAAGAATTTTGACATTTAATATCAGCTATAGGATTGATCTTGCAATGTTTGATAATAAAGTAGTTAGCGCACTTACAGAGACAAAATCCACTCAATCCTGCAATGTGTGCAATGCTAAACCCAAGAAAATGAACAATATTGATTTATTAAAAGCAAAAACTGAGAATGACTCGGCCTTGGGGCTCGGAATTTCAGCTTTGCATTGCTGGATAAAATGCTTGGAGTTCATTCTTTATTTGAGTTATAAAATTGAAATTAAAAAGTATAAGACAAAAATAATTGAGGAAAAACTATCTGTAGACTTAAAAAAAAGGAGATTCAGGTACTCTTCAGAGAACGGTTAAGCCTATACGTTGATATGCCTAAAACTGTGTCTGGAAACACGATTGACGGCAACACTGCCAGAAGAACATGTAAAAATAGTGAAGTTTTTTCTGAAATTACTAAAGTTGATTGTGATATAATTAAAAGATTGCATAATATTCTCATAACCATATCTTGTGGATATCCTATTAATATCAATGAATTAGATTTATACTGCACTGACGTATAGTGAGTTTATACAACTGGTATGTTATGTCTCCTACTGTACATAAACTGCTACTGCATAGTTCTTCTATATCAAAAAAAATTACGTTTGCCAATCGGGGTATATTCGGAAGATGCACAAGAGAGTTTAAATAAACAGATAAGAAATTCTAGACTAAAGCACATGGCAAAAATATCAAGGTTAAATACAATGATGAATCAGATGCACTACCTTCTTGTAAGATCAAATCCAAAACTATCAAGCATATCTTTTAAAAAACATAAGAGCTAATGAGGAAAACCGTTACCAGATGAAGTTTTTAAATTAATTGTAATGTAAATAATAAACTCAATGTAAAAAAATACAGTATTTTTTCTCTATGTATCAACAAACTTTAAAAACCATTTTTATAAAACTATCAAGTAAAGTAATATATCACAATTATGTGTTTGTCTTGAAGATTCTAAAACCTAAAAAAAAAATTTGTGTACGCATATAGTCACCTTTAACACGCGTAAGCGCGCATTTTACGCGTCGAAGCTGCGCGTTATAAAAAAAAATTATCAACAAATTTGAAATCTTTGACTTAAAAATTATTACTTTAATGTATAACATTATTTATTTACGATTTATGTCAATTTTTATTTAATTTTTGTCGTTTTTTGATTGTCCTGAGTCACTGTGTGACGTACCATCAAAATCAAAATTGTTAGATATAACATGTGGAGTTCTTCAAGAGTCTGTCGTAGGGCCTCTGTTATTTCTCATTTACATAAACAATCTTTATGAAGCTTCTATTTTAAAGACGATTATGTTTGCTGACGACACGAATTTCTTTTATCTCATAGTAACATAACAATACTATTTTATTGTATGGACATAGAGTTATTTGAAATTTATTAATGGTTTAAATTAAATAAACTTTCTTTTAATATTGAAAAAGTAAAATGGTCTCTTTTTTATATATACTAAAAAAAACATCTTCGACCAAGTGAGTTGTCTGCTTATTTTATAGGTAACATGCAAACAAAAAGAGTAACGGCTACAAGTTTTTCAAGGTTTTTATTGATGAAAATCTGACATGAAAAAGGCAAATTGAAATCTTGCGCACTAAAATTCCAAAGGTATAAGAATACTATTTAAAACAAGAAGTGTACTTAGAAAACATACTTTAGTTTTTTTTTTTTTTTTTTGTTTTTTTTTTTAGTATTGTATTTGCCGATTGAAAATAATTTACACTCGTAATTTATAAAAACAAATATTTACATGACTGGGGCTTGAAGAAGACAAAATTCATCTTATCATTAAGCCCCCCCCCCCCCCCCAAAAAATGCATATTCATCAAATAAAATATTTTAACAAAATGTAAAAAATAAAATATATAACGTTTAAAATATTTAGTAATTCAAAGAGTATTTATATTTAAGAACTGATTAGTAAAATAAGATGATATATAAGTATTAATATTACAAAAAGAATTTACAATAACTTTTTTTAATAAAAATTGAAATTATAAAATTTTACAATATTTTTAGTAATTAGTATTTCAAATAATAAAACTTAAAAAATCGTTTGTAAATTCAAAACTTATAAGATAAGAAATACATTTACAATAGCAGACTATTGTTTAGAATATTAAATATAATATTAAAGAGTAATTAGTAGGTTAATTTTTGTTTTTGTTTGCTAGTTTAAAAAGCTTTTTAGAAGAGCTTTAATTCATTTTCATGCTAATCAGTAATTGCTTAAGTTTTGTTTTAAACTGGTTTAAAGAATAATTAGATTTCAGCTCATTATTTAATATAGTATTCCACAGCTTAGGACCTCGATTTGCAATTGAGAATTTGGTTGCTGAATAATGTGTTTTGGATTGAATGTAATTGTTTTTTGAAAATCTGGTAGGGTATATGTGGTTTATTTTTTCAAAAAGTGAATTAAATAACATTGGTGATATTTTTTTATCAAGTTTAAGCATGAAGATAAGAATATGGTAAAGGTTTAGTTTATATACATTTAGAATATTAAGTTTATTAAATAATGTTTTAGTGTGAGAGAAACGGTCTACGTTTGTAATTATCCTTATAGCCTGTTTTTGTTTACTAAACAGTTTTTTTACTTTTGTTGCGTTTGTGCTGCACCAAGCAACGTTTGCATAATTTAAGTAGCAATGAATTAAAGAAAAATATAAGTTTTTTAAACAAGATAAATTTAAAAACTGCTTGGCTTTATACAAAACACCTAAATTTTTTGATATTTTATTTTCAATTAGACCTATGTGGTCCCTCCAGGTTAAATTTTCATCCAGAACCACACCTAAAAACTTTATTGATTGCTTTCTTTTTAATAATGCGTTATCAATAAAAAGATCAGGAAGTTTTAATGGAATATCTTCTTTTTTATGAAGACGATGGAACAAAGTGTATTTGGATTTATTGATGTTCAAAGATAGTTTGTTTGATTTGAACCATTGGGTTAATTTTTCAAGTTCTTTGTTTACTGTTTGAAATAATTTACTGATATCTTTACTAGAATAAAACAAGTTTGTATCATCTGCAAACAAAATTAAGTTTAAAATGTTAGAAAATTTATATAAGTCATTAATATAAACAAGAAATAAAAGTGGTCCTAAAATTGATCCTTGAGGAACACCACAGGTGATTGACTTATATTCCGTTTTTCCGCTATCATATGAAATAAACTGCTTTCTATTAGTCAAGTAACTATCAAACCAGGACAAATTAGTATTTATTATACCATAACTTTTCAGTTTGGATAGAAGGATTTGATGATTGACAGTGTCAAAAGCTTTACTTAAATCGATAAATACACCTAGGGTATACTTGTCTTCATCAAACCCTTTAAATATATCATGAACAAGGTGAGTGATTGCATGATCAGTTGAATGACCAGATTTAAACCCAAACTGTTTATGATAAAGAATATTATTAACATTTAAAAAGGAATATAGTCTATTATACATAACCCGCTCTAATATTTTAGAAAAACAAGAAAGAATTGAGATTGGTCTATAATTCGTAACATCGGAAGGATCACCTGATTTTAACACTGGAATTACTTTTGCAATTTTTAGGTTATCTGGAAAAACGCCTTGTTTTAGAGATAAATTAAAAATATGTAGTAATGGAATTGTAATTTGTTTTATTGATTTGATAATGACATTACTACTTATATCATCAAATCCTAAACTTTTATTGGGTTTTAATAAAGAGACTTCGTCTAGTAATTTTTTTTCTGTAAGTTTATAATTAGACATAACATTAAGGTTGGTTGAGGTTAAGTACGAACTAAAGTGTGATTGAGTAGTTGCTATATTAGATGATAAAGTAGGACCTATATTTACAAAAAACTGGTTAAGTGTTTCAGCGACTAAGGATCTATTTACAATTTGTTTGTTATTAAATTTAAGATTTAGAGGAAGTAAATTTCTCTATAAGCTTTTTTTTCCAATTACCTCCTTAATAATATGCCAAGTTTTTTTAGAATCATTTTTGTGCTTTATTAATTGTTCAGAATAGTAACGTTTCTTTGAGCGTTTTAAGATTGACTCAAATAGCCGTTTATAGTTTTTATAGGTAGTTTCATTTTTAAGAGTTCTTTTTTTAAGAAACTTGTTATATAAGCGTTGTTTTTTTTTTGAAGATTTAAGAATGCCCTTCGTGATACAAGGGTTTAAAAGTGTTTTTGTTTTGATTACTTTAGTAACTTCTGGGAATGCCTTGTTATAAAGATTAAGAAACTCTGTTAGGAAAATATCATACGCTTTATTGGCGTTTAGATTTAGTTTTAGGGTGTCCCAGTTAACACAGGATTGAAAAATGACTAATAGAATTATAAAAATGACTAATAGAATTGTCGGTTATTAAACGTGTTTTAATTATTTTTTCCCGTTCATTTTGGGCATTATATATGCATTTTTGCGATAGGATAAAAATCGGAAAGTGATCAGACACGTCAGTTTTAAATATTCCTGTTCTTATATTTTTATTTATAAATTCATTTGTTATAATTTGATCTAGGGATGTTGAACTTTCCTTAGTTATTCGCGTTGGTTTATTGATTAGTGGAATATAGTTATTTTGAAAAATGGTGTTAAAAAAGTTTTTAATATATATTTTTTTTCATAATCTAATATATTGAGATTGATATCACCAATAAAATATACAGCTTTATTCATAGACGATTTATTTTTAATTATTTTTTTAATGTGGTTTTCAAATACCTTAATGCTTCCTGAAGGCGGTCTGTATAAACCATGAATGACGATATTTTTTGAGGTTTTGTTAATAATTTCAATACATAACGATTCATAATCGTTAGTAGTTGAACTTAAATTTGGTTTAACTTTGAATAATATTGAGTTTTTTATGTATATACACAAACCCCCACCTTCCTTATTAGATGCTTTAACTTGATGAATTACTTTATAATTAGGTAATTGAAAATTAGAATTGTTTTCAATGTTTTTATCTTTACACCATGTCTCACTTAGACAAACTATTTGAAATTTAATGCCATTTTTATATAAAAGTTGTTTTAATGACTCAAAATTTTTTTGAATACTTCTAATATTAATATGAAGCATTGAAAAATAGTTATCCTCCATTCCATTAGCAATTTTTTTAGAATTTGGGTCATAATATAAAGGGTTAATATTTTTAATTATTTCATCATTATTATAAAAATTAATATCAGGATCCGAATAGTTGTTTAATAGTATTGACTTTTTTGATACAAATGAATTAAAATTTATGTTTGTTAAAACAGTTTCATCAGCCATTTTAAATCAGAAATAACTTAAAGCAATATTAAAATTCAAAAAAGTAATATAAAAACGTAAGAAAATCATTTATCATTATTTTTTTTTTTATAAATTCTCTAACAATAAGCTTATCGTATATAACAACGGAATACTTACCATTTATCCTGTGCAATTTGCTTTCTTCAAGAAGTTTCTTTCTTATTGTGGAAGTTTCCAGCGAAAAATCCTCGTTGATATAAATTCCGGATCCTTTCAGTTTATTGGCATTTTTTAGGATTTTTACTTTGTCTTTATGGTTAAGTAACTTAATTACAATTGTTCTTGGATTTTTTTTTTCAATAATGCCAGTTCTATGCGCTCTTTCTATGATTACCCCATTTACATTGAGACTATTTTCAAAAATGTTTATTATTATTTTTTCCGTATCATCCCAACTTTCGTTGTCATTTTCTTTAACTCCTTCAATTCGAAGATTATTTCGCCTTTGTCGATCTTCCAGCTGTCTAAATTTATTTTTTTCATTCTTACCTATATTTGCATTCGATGACTTTTTTTTTTCCAACTCGCTCATTTTTTTGTCATTGCAATCTTGATAAAACGTTAGACTTTCCTCAATGTCTTTTTGTGTTTTTTCAAACGTTATCAACTGCTTGTAAGTTTTATTTTGATCGGCATTTCGGTTTACGTTATCTTTTTTTAACATTTCACAAGTTTCTTTTAATGTACTAATTTCTTTCAGCAATCCATCGATTCGATCATTAGTCAGTTTTAAATTTGCACTTATTAACGATAGTATATCATTTTGTTGTTTTTGGAACATTTCTTGAAAAATTTCCCTAACTAATTTTATCGAGACGTCAGTGATTTGTTTTGAACTCATTTTCAATCTCAAGTTAAATACCAGTTATAAACAAAATACCAGTTAAAAGTTAAATACCAGTTATAACAAAAATTTTAAAAATTAAGTTCAAACAATTTTATTTAAAATTTACAGCGTAAGAAAAGCACGTCCGATCACTTCCGTAGTAAATCAATTAATCAATAGTTAAAACCATTTTTTTTGCTAATAAAAATATGTTGTACAACTTATTAATTTTAAACATTGTTTTTATCAATAATATGCCATATTTATATATTATATTAATATATGCCATTTTAATATATTTAATGTATTGTGTTTTATGTTTATATGTAAAACTCACATATCTCTAATTTCTTTTCACAATTTATGTTGTTTAAAATTTAAAAATAAATTCAATTTTCGTAATGAAAATTTATTGTTCAACCAGTTTTTAAAAGTAACTTTAATAAATTGAGGAGAGAAAAAAAGAGGAGGAGAGAGAAAAAGAGGAGGAGAAAGAAAAAGAGGAGGAGAGAAAAAAAGAGGAGGAGGGAGAAAAAGAGGAGGAGAAAGAAAAAGAGGAGGAGAGAGAAAAAGAGGAGGAGAGATAAAAAGAGGAGGAGAGAGAAAAAGAGGAGGAGAAAGAAAAAGAGGAGGAGAGAGAAAAAGAGGAGGTGAAAGAAAAAGAGAAGGAGAGAGAAAAAGAGGAGGAGAGATAAAAAGAGGAGAAAGAAAAAGAGGAGGAGAGAAAAAAAGAGGAGGAGAGAGAAAAAGAGGAGGAGAAAGGAAAAGAGGAGGAGAGAGAAAAAGAGGAGGTGAAAGAAAAAGAGAAGGAGAGAGAAAAAGAGGAGGAGAGATAAAAAGAGGAGGAGAGAGAAATAGAGAAGGAGAGAGAAAAAGAAAAGGAGAGAGAAAAAGAGGAGGACGGAGAAAAAGAAGAGGAGAGAGAAAGAGAGGAGCATTTTTATGGAAAAAGGTAGTATTAAAACTTTTTGATTTGAACTATGATATTTGCTTCTAGATATACTTAATACAACTTGATACAGCTTAATACAACTTGAACGGGTACACTTGATAAAAATTTAATTAAAAAATTTTTAGGTAAAAAACTTGTAGAAGCAATACCTTATTTTATAATGACAAGTTTATAGTTTTGGTATATATTTTACTCAAGGTGAAGAAACAGATTTTTTTTTAATTTTTTTTTAACGAAAGTTGTGCTTATTTTATGTTAATATATTGAATGAAATGTTTTTATCGTGCTCTTGTAAAATGAAATGAATGTTCCTAATATATATTGTTTTAATATTTTTAATGTGTTGTGTTTTATGTTTAAATGTGAAAATCAAATATCTCCTTTTTTTTTTCACAATTTATATTGTTTAAAATTTAAAAATAAATTCAATTTTTGTAATGAAGTTTATACTTTCGGTATATATTTTACTCAAAGTGACGAAACAGGTTTCTTTTAACGAAAGTTGTGCTTATCTTATAGTAAATATATTGAATGAAAAGTAAACCAAAAGTTGTTTTTATTTAAATTTTTTAAATATTTTTTGATTTAAAAAAAATATATATATACATTTTATAAGCAACCTGCAAGAAAGAGTAGACGCTAGAATTTAGTCCATACCTTTAACAAAACACTTCCGCCCAGGAAAATAAGGTACCTTTTTTTTGCTAAAGTTTTCCTTAAAATATCCGAATATTGATTTTGCCATATAAGTTTATTCAAGTCGTAAAACATAATATAAATACAAGTAGCAGAAGTAAGAAGACAGAACTTGTCTTATCACCAAACCCCTTAATCTATAACGTAAATGTAAAATAATAAAAATTAAAAAACGTTTAATGACCGTTGCCCTATAACTACATTCAAGAAATAAAATAAATTAGAATAAACAAATTAAAAAGCATCTTTTTTCCCAACTATAATTTAATTTTCTGTCAATATAAAAATTATGGGAAAAAAAAAAGATTTTTTTTTTTAATTCGAAACACTTTTTTTTCAGTACAATAACACGCGTGACAAAGTTTGACTTGTACTTTGAAAGCGCAGTTAGCACTCGTGTTTACAAAAAGTGATAGTATAGATAAATTATATTTATATAATTATAAAGTAAATAATTGTTTTTTTTAATAATATTTATCTGCGCTAATAACAAATAAATGATGTGAAAATGAAATTTCTCTTTTTCCGCTTTATTATTGGATCACTTTTAAATAAAATATTATTGTAGAATAAATACAACTTTCGTTAAAAAAAAATGTTGTTTTGTTGTCTTAGTAACCTGAAATAGACGAATAATGGTGTCTATTTAGAAAATAAAAAATCCTTGCCGAGTTTTTGTGACGCTGTGAAATTTCAACAACAATTGGATGAATTTGTTAATAATTTCTTTTTTATTTTTTGTTGCTTTTTTTCTAATACCTATTATGAGCTTAATGTTTTTAAAACTTTGATATTGCCTTTCTTTAAAAAAAGAGGGTACAATAAAATAGGGAACAGAATGATCTAGTTTTGACAATGTTTATTCTTTTTTCTAATTATTATTGAATGGCTTTAAGAGGGGAAAAGGGGGTAGAGGCCAGATTTTTTGTGACAACTTATACGGACTTGATACTTAAGTGTGACAATACTGTGACAAAGGGTTGGGGGATGAAAAATGGGTAAAAATATTGCGTGGCGTAATTTATAGACCACCCTACAAAATAATTTTTTTTTTTTTATCAAGGTTGCGTAATTTTTTTTTCCTTTTTTAAATGGAACTTAAAATTCTCGGAAGTGAAATTTGATGGCATTAAACTTAAAATCGTTTTTTACCTTTTTACGCCGGTCAAGAAGTGAAAAAAGTGGCGGTCTTTCACTCAACAAAACTGCTCAATTATTCTGATTTACAATGGTATAGGTAAAATAATTAGCAGTTCAAACACAAGGTTGACGCAACATTTTGAATCAACTCTGGTAGATACTCGATGCAGTCATAAGTAAAACACCATTACAGCTCACAATATTTCATCACTCAAAGCCCCTTCTTGCACACAAAAAAAAGTAGCAAAGTATTTCAACACACTCCAAAGAGGATTCAACGAAGCAGGTATTTACTAAATTACTTCATGTTATTTGTGGAGTTTTGGTGATATTGGTTTTCCTTATAATTAAAGAAAGGAACTCATAGTTTACAGACGGGTTAAACAACCATTAAAATTGGTTGAAAACAGTGAAAAAATACAGTTATAAATTGCATCATTCCTGCTTGTTATGGTATTGTACTATACATACTTTTTCAATCCAAGAAATTTTTGCGCGCAGTGGCTCACTGCCCAGTTACCAGCGAAACTGGGTCCCAGCTGGGATTCATTGGCATTAAGCTGGAATTACTGGGATTGGATTCGAGCTGGGATTTGTTCTTAGTGCCAGATGGATCCCATATGATGTAAAAATAATGTCGCAAATAAAATTTTTACGTTTACAGCTGGTTCGAAGATGATTTAATTATCATTATTATTTCATTAATTTTGACACCTTATGTAATTTACAAGGTAAAAAGAAAAATAAGAAAGTTATTTCTCTCGATTTTCTCTTAAGATTTTTTTTTCCAGAATTTGTTTAGAAATTCCTTTTTGTTCTTTTGCAATCCAACTGTTTATTTCATACTTCAAAGTTTATTTAACTTCGGAGGGAATTTCACTTTTAGAAAGTACTACTTTAACCTTCTTTTTATTTTAAATTTAATATTAAAAATTTAACATCTGAGAACGGCATTTAGCGCTCTCTTTCCATTTACATCTAGTTTTTTTTATCAAAGCGGAATTATTTTCAAACCGCTCCATACCAGGAGCTATTCCCGCTAAAAATTTAAAAATAAAATAAAAAAAAAACTTAATTTTTAACTACTTTTACCTATGTAGAACCATAAAAATGATTTTAAGAGTAGAATTTTAACCTATAACTTTTTTAAATTGTCTATTTGAATGAATTACTTCGAAGTAATATCCCTAGCAACTCCATAGCAATGCATTTGATTAGCTGTATGCAACATATTTATTACCTAGTTTAACCTAAACAAGTGTTATGTTAATTATGTACAAGCTTTAACAGCTTCTTTATGAATTATAATAGAATTTTTGTAAAGGTTGGTACATCAAGTACGACACTTTGAGTCAGTTATTGTGTTATTTGATCATATTAGTTTTGTTAGTTAAAATGGGAAGAGATTGTTGAGTAAAGTAACAAACTCACTGTAAAAGGAAAAGATTTATGGGAAATGTTAATCTGTTAATATTGATTGTGTTAATAAAATCTGGTGACATTGATTGTGTTTCTGATAGTGTAAATATTGAGTTGCCATCAATGAATTTTTATGCAATCAATTAATTTGAATGGTACACTTGTATTTTGAAACCAAATATTGAAAACTCACTTAAGTTTGTCCGCTTAATCTCGTAAAGTTTAAGACTAAAAAGATGCACTTGTTTTGAAACCTAGTACACCTGGCTATCGCATTACTGATGTTGCTGATTTAATTTCTGTTTTGAATTCTTTTCTGTGTCTGTATCAGAATGTCACACAGCTGTTTCAATGTGGACGCACGGCTTCAACGCGTTTATACAAAAATCAAAAAAATTATAAACGCGTAAAAATTATGAAATTTTTGAAAAGTTTAATGTTACCTTTTTAGCAAAAATAATCAAAAAATTATTACTTCTGCTGTTTAATATATAATATAAACATTGTTAGACCATTTATAGAGCTAAAAATTTTACATTAACCTAATGTGAATGGATAGAGGGATTGTTAAAGTCAGACAACAAAATTGCCAATTATTAAATAAAATGTTGTTTTTTTTTAAAAAAAAAATGTTTGACCTGAAATTAAATATATTTATCAATATTGAAGATATTAGAGACTTATTTAAAAGATATTTAAGTTTGTGACGAAAATTTCACAAAGTTGATAACCATAATCATATACCGAAATAAAACCAGAGTGTGATTTTGTATTGCATTTAAGTTTATGTGATTTACGTCATTGCTTCAAAATATAGAAGCAAAAAACAAATTTAGTGCTAAACATGCTAAGTTTGAAAACATATTTGGTAACATAGCTAGAGGTACAGAAAATAAGTTTTTGATTTTTATATTCATATAGGATCGATGTATTACTAGCTTCGCGGACGTTTCAAAAATATTACGCTTTTTATTTAAGAATAAAAACAAATATATATCTTAAACTATAAAAACTATAAACCTAAAAATCTTTTTGTAAAAAAATTAGAATTTTGACATTGCAATATCCGCGGACATTACAATTTAAAAAAAAGGTTATCGGAAAGGTTATCTGGATAATACAGATATTGCCTCAGAAACGTAAGATCCGTGGTTCAAACCCCACCTCTGGGCAAGTTTTGCGACATCGGTTGGGAAGGAGGCGTGAACTTCCCATTAAATGCTCTTCCGCGGTGCTTTGTGATAAAACCGTAAGGACTTCTTGGGGCACCTTAATCAACTTAAAAAAAAAAAAAAAAAAAAAAAAAGAAATTTATAAACAAGTGTTCCGAATTTCAACTATCAAGAATGTAGTTATATTACCATGTCTTAGTTGACACAAGACAGGTTTTCCTTAAAAATTGCATAAAACAGAAAAGTGATCCCAAAACCATTAGCAATACTTTTACAATTTTTTTTCTTTTCCATTTAATCTAAATGTTTATTTTACAAGGAAAAATAGACCTCTTATATATTTTTTTTCATTTAAAGATAAAAGCATTTATAGAAAAAAAGTACTATGGTTTCAAAGTTAATGATTTTTGAAACTTTTTATCCGGAAATAGTTATTTTTGTGCCAAACTCGTGACGTAATGCCCAATTTTACATTGCGTGAAACAGCTGTGACCCCTACACTCTCATTAGGCGGAAGGTATAATAAAAAATATGGTTTATGTTGTTATATCTTAAGAGTCTGAAAAAAGATTGCAACTGTCTTCGTCAGTTTTACACCTCTATCGATGATTACAATAAAAAAAAGATTTTTATAAGCGAATGATTTATGGCATGCGATTATTGGGCTATGGATATGCAGGCATAAAAAAGATTTATACAATTATGAATTTACGTAAGCCTATGACCAAAAAAATTATGAAAAATTACTAAAAGTAATTGTAAAAGATGTTAAAACTGTACCAGAATAAACCACAATAAATCCTGAAAATAAATTGCTTAAAGTATATGGCACTGACTGATTTTTAAGTATCTTGCAATGGTACATTGTACAAACAAGAACATTTATCGCTAAACGGAGCCTTTTTTACTGTTAGTGGTAAAGTGTTAGATGTTGAAGTCATATTCAGATATTGTAAAGGTTGCAGTGTTACTCAAGGCTAAAATTCTAATCTAACTGCTTATGTCCAATACGTAATTAGTGCAAATATAATGCTGATAAAATAAATAAAACTATTGAAGCCAGAACCGTATACCAAAACAAAACGGATTTACTATTGGGCGTTATTGTGAAAGTAACATATATATTTGAAGAGAAGTGTGTTCCAAAAATGTAAAGACAGTGAATTAAATGTTTGCATGGTAAAACACAAAACGCTAACGAATCGTTTAATAGAACGATTTGGGACCGTATACCAAAACAAACATTTGTCTGGCTTACCCAATTAAAAATTAATGTATATGATGCTGTAGCTTACTTTAGTATAGGAGGCAAAGTATTTTAATACAACTGGACATAAAACAAAGCTTTAATGTGATTGCAGGATTCAAAGCATTAAATAATGAAATAATAAGTAATGTCAAAGTTAAAATGAACCCTAATAAAAAATCAAGGCGACAAATATTAAGTATAATATTAAGTAAAAAATAAAGTATAAAAAATAAAAAGTCAAGACGACAAATATTAAAATGATAAACTAATTGAAAAAGATGATGACTTATATGTATCTAGTGGATTTTAAAATTTTGGTTAACTTTTTTTTTTACCTATTTTATTAATAAAACGTTTCTGTATTTATTGTTTTTACTTTATTCGTTTTTTTTTTTCAGAATAGCAATTTGTGCACGCCGCCCAATATATTTGTAGAACCATATGATATTTTTCTATGAAATTTTCAGGAAGTGTTTACTATATCACACAAAATCATAAGAATGGAATAGATTTTAATTAAGACATATAAATAAATTTTTTTTTTCAATAAAAAGATTAAAAATTCGACTCTAAATTTTTGGTCGTCTTGTTGTGGTGGTGACAAAAGGTTATGAAAAATCTGTTCCACTCATATCATAGCCCTGCCTTATGGCAACTTTATGGTTCAATATCGATTAATAGAAATGTGCCTATTACTTTGGATTTTGGCCGACGTGAAGTCACTTGGTGATTTTACGGGTTTGTTTAGCGGTTAACATGGCAACAGTATAAATTTCAAAAAAAAACTTTATGCATTATTTTAAATTTACTATAAGCATTTTTGCCAATAATCATTTTTTGTAAAAATACTAGATTTAAAATCAAAAGGAGTACCCCTTAAGTAAGTTAAATAGCTCCATACCATTAAGCAAATTAAGGTAGGGACTGCCAATAATTTATATATATAAAAATAGGTCACCCTTGGGTTGGCAAACCGGATTCCAAATTGATAAGAGTTCAAACAACAGCTGTAAAGCTTGAGATTTTTACCAACATTTGTATAACAGGTGATGGTAGCGTGTATTTTCAAATAACAGGTGATGGTAGCGTGTATTTTCAAATAACAGGTGATGGTAGCGTGTATTTTCAAATAACAGGTGATGGTAGCGTGTATTTTCAAATAAAAGCAGTTTTATTGGCATCGTTTTTATTAAAAAGTTTTGTATAAATAAAATTACAAAATTCTTTTAAAATGACATATACAGTCATGCAGCTTGATTCAGATTGAATATACACTTGCATTTAAAGTAAATGTAGACAGGAACTTCATTTGGTTTTTTTATTGCATTTTTGTAAAAAATATTTACATTTCAGTTTTAATTTTATATTAAAAGTAAAAACATGTTAAAATCAATATTTAGTCAACCATTTAAAAAAAAGAATTCATTAAAAAAAAGAAAATGTGACATGCTGTCAAGTTTCTTAAATGATTTAAAAAATTTTAGAAATGAAATTTTCTTAGTAAACTTCTGAGCTATTATTAAGTTTAAGATATGTAAACGTTTATTTTTTTTTTGGACTTGTAAAATGTTTTATCAAACTGAAGGCATATTCTGTATTTATGCAATAGACAAATGTTAAATATTTTTCACAATAGTTTATATGATTTAGTATGTTTACGGTACTGCAAGCACACTAAATCATATTACGGTACTGCAAGCACACTAAATCATATTACGGTACTGCAAGCACACTAAATCATATTACGGTACTGCAAGCACACTAAATCATATTACGGTACTGCAAGCACACTAAATCATATTACGGTACTGCAAGCACACTAAATCATATAAACAATTTTGAAAAACTTTTAACGTTTGATTTTTAACTATTTAACAAATAGTCTTTTTTAAAAAAAAAAAAAAAAAAAATTTTAAGCACACAATAAAATACACTAAGCCATTACTCAGCCTCAGCGTGTTTAGCTTTAATTATTTTTTTTCAAAAGATTTTTTGAAAAACCTTTGAGTTTGCTATGTTTTGTAAAGTGACTTAGACAATTTTTTTTACAAATCATAGCAAAGTTTTACTGTGCAACACTGTCGTATGTAAAACTCTACATATTATTTATAAATACATAAACCATTTAATGAATGGTTTATGTATTTATAAATAATATGTAAAGTTTACATACTTATGGAAAAAATTAAATTCTTATATTTATTATAGGTAAGATTTTACATATTTTATAAGTAATACAATTAATATATTTCTTATAGTATAAGAAGGTATTCCTTATAGTATAAGAAGGTAATATATATCATATAATAAGGTAGCGTGCATTTTTTTATCAAAAGCAGTTTTATTGGCATTGTTTTCAATAAAACACTTTTAAAAAGACGTGGTGCCTCAATAGTAGGGTGTCTCAAAAAAAAATTTTTTTGTGCGCTATTAAAAACCTGGCTCTTATATGTAAAAAGACGAAATGTATAAAAAATAATGATCTGACACAAGTGTAAGAGCTTGGTGTAAAACTTGAAATTTTCGAAAAACATCAATTTTTGTCATATTTTTTAAGTTTTAATATTTTAAATGTACCTGCAATGAAAAAAATGATGAAATTAATTTTAAAGTAGCATGATTTATCTATTATTTTTTAAGTTAGTCATCCTTTACTTATACTTAACGATATATTTCAATTTTTTTTCTTGAATATTGGTATTTTATTGGTTACCGCTATTCTTTACTTATTAACTTTTGATTAGTTTAAAATACATGCGATATAAAATTGTTTCATTATTTTTAGTTTCATAGTTAAATATATTTAAAAAAATGGGTCAAACAGTAAAAAACTCCAGCAAAATAAAACCACGGGAAAAAGAAAAGTACACTGTTCAAAGCAGTTTAAGACGATCTCTATATCTATTAAAATATCCCATAAATGAGCTTCCAGGCAACCAGCTGCCCAGTGTCAAAAATATTTTGCAATACTTTCACTTTTTGAAATCTTCAAGGTTGTTTTATTATCTAGTTTTTATCTAATTTATTTACTTAACCCACAATTCATGAATGTAAATATATATTTCAGTTAATCCTCTTATATAGGAGCACCAGATTTTAGTCCAGCAAAGAAATTATTGCCTGTCCAACAAAAAAAGGAACCAGAAGTCTAGTTTGCCAATATGAAATATCAACCAATAGATGTGTAACTTCAGCTGTTACTGACATCTGGATAAAAGCTGGTTTTGCATGCAACATTATTAGTGGAAGATCTGTTAGGTAAATTTTACAACAACAAAAATTATTATAGATTTATTTTATTATTAGTACCTTCAGCTATGTATTATTTTTCAGTGAAAGGATCCTAAAACTCACAGAGAAATATAACAAAATGAAAGGATGGAGTAAACTAAACTGGTGTTCAAGCAAAGGAATCTGGACTAAAAAGCAAGTAGATTTCCAGGTGGAGATTGATACCTTATATGATATATATGCTCCTCAAATAATTGACATGTTAATAAAATATTTTAGAAGAACAGAAGAGGCAAAGAAAGAAGATGTAGCCTTCTACGAAGACCAGCGATCTAAAATGAATATGACCATTACTGCACATCAAGATAAAGAATTTGAAACTAGGGCTCTGCGAAGAAAGGAGAGATTTGAAAGAGTTAAACTGCTGAATGATCAGAAAAACTGAAAGGCTCAAAAAGAAAAAAGGACTGTGGAAACATTTGAGAGATTGCAGAAGTTGACAGACAAGACAATTCATAACATTGTTAGCCCATTTGAAAGTTCTCTTTTATGTGAAGAAAGTGATAATTCTGAATGTTTTTTTTTTTTTTTTTGTATGTATCGAGGTGCACCCAGAAGTTCTTACGGTCTTATCATAGAGCACCGCGGCAGAGCATTTAACAGGAAGTTCACGCCTCCGTCCAATGTCGCTTGTTGGGCTAGAGCTGGCGTCGAACCCCGGACCTCTGGGTTCTGAGCCAGAACTCTAACCACTGCGCCACGGCTGCTCTAAACTAAAATTTGAATATATCCAAATCAAAAAAATCAAAATTAATTTTAGAATTAACACCTGATGAACTAATTGAAGCTACTTCTGCTGTTAGCGTTTGGTATAAAATTTGTGTTAGACCCCAGACTGCTATAATTTCTACTATTTGCAATAAAGCAGGTGTTGACTTGCATGAGATTAATTTATCAAGATTTACTCTACATAGAAAAAGAATTATTGAAAATCTTGGTAACTATTATTCCCAAAAATGAAGTTTATTTGTTTTGTTATCTTTATTAATCTAAATGTATAATTTAATTGATTTAGGAGAAACACTAAGGCAGGATGTTGTTAATGTTTTAAAAGAAAAAAAACTTATACTTCATTTTGATGGGAAACCTGTTAGACAGCTGGAAGAAAAAAATGATCTGACAGTTACATGTGAAAGAATTGCAGTTAGTGTAACCAGTCCAGATTTGGAATGTAGAGATGATTTTTTTCTTGGCATAGTACAGGTAAAAAATGGCTGGGTCAGACCAGGCACATTTAGTCCTCAATCTCTTAGAATACTATGATATTGTCGACAATATTATTGGTGTTTGCTGCGACACAACTGCATCCAACACTGGAAAATTTGCGGGAGCAGTTACAATTCTATCAACTATCCTTAATACAAGTCTTGTTTGTGCATGTGTCGTCGCCATATTATTCAAGTACATATTAAACATTTTATGACTGCACTGACTGACGCCGATACCAAGTCTCCGAGAAGAGAAATTTATGTTCGCTTACTGAAGGTTTGGTCAAAAATTTTTGACAAGATAGACACATTATCAGTAAATCTGGTTAAGTTTAACTGGACTTCTTCAGAGATTGGATCACCTATTTATAATATAGCCAAGACAGCAATAAAGTTTGGAGAAACTGCACTAAATGAAAATATTTTCAAGAGTGGAGACAACAAAAATCTTTGTCAGTTGTTTATTTACTACCTTGGTGGTCATGTTCCTGGTATAAAATTTCATCAGCCAGGAGCTTGTCATGAAGCAAGATTTATGGCAGATGCAATTTATTTGCTTACATTAGAAATGACAAAAGACATCTCAAATATCACGAAAGAAAAGGAGAAAGAGATGGTTACGACAGCTTCTTTATTTATATCATAATGTCCTTGGTTTTTCAAAAGCTCTTTGAGTATTAAAGCACCAGCCAATAATTTAGCAGCATTCAAAGACATGTTTGATTTAAGTAAAGAATATCCTCAGTTTTCTCAACCAATACTGAAAAGCATGCAAAATCATACATGGAATTTAAGTCAGTAGCTTGTTGTAATGACTTTACTGGATGATGATGTAGAAAAAGTTGAGAAGAAGAAAATACTCCAAAACCTCTGACAGTTTCCAGGTCCTAAAGAGTTCACAAAAGGTAAGCCTAAAATGCTCATAATCACACCGTCTATAACACTATCAAATTTAGTTGGTGACCAGAGCTGGAGTTTGTTTTGCCTAACCCAGGTTATCCATGACCAGGTTGAGTTAGCTGCACAAGGGGACTTTACTGTTCTAGACAACTTTATTTTTTGTTAAAAATATAAAGTCACCAACGATTGTGCAGAAAGAAATATAAAACTAATCCAAGACTTTATTATGCCATACCGAAATGAAGATAAAAAGCAGAATGTCTTGTTGGTTGCAAAAAACCATAGAAAAACGTTGAATACAAATCTGACTAAAACCCAGCTAAATCAGATTTGAAGTGCTTATGATATTTGTTCAACCTTTTTTTCTACGACTCTCCAGCATATGCAACATACATTTAAAATAAATTTTATTATAATAAATGTTTAACATGGTTAGTTTTCTAATATTTCCAAGTTTTATTGTATAAATAGGAAAAAGTCAAAAATTTGAAGTTTTAAACCAAGCACTTGTAAAGGTTTAAATTTAAGAATTTTAATATATTTGGTCATAATACACCTAGTAACCAAGTTCTAGATAGCGCACATCTCATTTTTCCGAATTTTTATTTATTTGTGGCACCCTACTCAATAGGCATTACGTTTATGTTACATATCGATCGGTCTTTAATCTATAATATAAAAGTGTATATATTTTGAAAGTAATATTCAGACATTTGTTTAACAAGCAATATGGCATATCTAAGAGAGAAAAATGTTGAGTTTTAAGATGTTTTTATTTAATTATCACAGGTTGTTATATGATTTTTTTATTCAAAAAATTATAAAAAAGATATCAAACTTTTTTAGTAATAAATTTTTTGTTTACTTTGTTTTTGTATAAAGCTTTTTTAACTTTTTTTTATTAGGATCAATAGTATATTATTTGTTTTTTTATGGGTTGATTTGTGTTGATTTATGATCTACTACAGAAAATGCATTACTTTAACGAATGTTAATTTTTTAAACATAAAGTTATGTAAAATCTTCCATGAAATGGTTTATCTAAATTTAGTAAGTTATCACTTAATCTGAATAATTATTTTGAATATTTTTGTTTTAGAAAGTTCAGGAAAGGTTTTCTTTCCATTTGTTTTAATATTTTAAACTATTAGTTTACAGAATTTGATAAAACAAATAAAAGAATTTCTGTATATGAAAAATATAAAGAGTTTGTAAAATATAAAGGTTTTTCCTGTTATTGGCCTAAGTTTCTGTGAATGGATTAATTTTGTGAACAGAAGATGGACTTTAAACTACTAGGAAATGTGAATGGTATAATGATAGTACATAAATTTTAGATAAAGAGCAGTTTGTTTTACAATATATACATTAAAAATTTATTAATATATATAATAAGAAATTTTTTAAAAAGAACATATACAGTAGTGTGACATAATTTGATAGGAAAATACATTTGAAGAATTTTTCAGATAAACTTCACTTGGTACCTCAATAATAGTTTTTTTTATTTATTTATTTATTATTTTGATTTATCAGTTGATTAGTAGAATAATATTTAATAGTAATAATATTTATATATGGCAAATCGTGTATGTTATTTATGCAATATTATTTCAAAAGTCAGTTTTTTAATGGTTTAATGGCAGCATGTATTTCCATCAATACATGCTGTCATTGTTACAATGTAGTAAAGTTTAAAAGTTAATTATGTATAATTTATTAAGGTGTTATATATTTTTTTTAAATCTGCTGTGAAATAATTTAATATATAATCAAAAAATGTAGCTCAAAGACAAAATGGATAAATTTTAATAAATAAACCATAAATTTTGATCCACAATAATTGAAAAATGTTATGTTTAAATAATCATGGATACAACTATTATATATACTAGCAGTAAGCAACCCGTAATACGCGTTGTTAGTAAATTGAGTTAAAAAAAAAACCGCGTATAGAAAAGCCTAGAAACTACTTTAAAATAGAAAAGCCTAGAAAATAACGTAACTCGACTAATAATAATATTAAATTAGCGTATTTATATTATCAGATTAATATAAGTATTCTACACTTGTTTATAATTGTAAATTTAATTGTGAAAAAAATTTTAATACAAACTTTATTGTGGTCAAAATTAAAATTGTTTTTAATTTATTCATTATGTTAAAATTATAACAAATAGTTATTTTTAAGTAATCATTTTACCTAAAATAGTTATTGTTTAATTAGATATAATCAAAATGTTAATAATATTGATTACTTTTGCATTCATTAAGTTATATAAAAGATATTAAACCCTCACCAACTTATTTAAAGGTTTGATGTCATTTTAACTTGAGCCAAGACTTAAAATTTTAAATGGAAAAATAGTAGTCATGTTATATCATTGTTATTTACAAGTCTTTTTATGTCATGCCTAATTATTAAAATCAAACATTAACCGTAAAACTTCCCTGCAGGATACCTGTTAAAAAAAAAATTGAAGAAACTTTAAAACCAGATGATGGCAACTGACGAAGTTAAAACACCGTTATTTATGGTGTCATATCGAGGCTTCGGTTTTCCAGTATTTATTTTTGGATTTTATTATATATGTTATTTTTGTAACAGCAAACAATAAGAATAGTTGTCCTGCCCAGGCCTCTAATTCAATCTGGCTATGGTTTAAATACTATGGTTTAAATACACGTCTATCGATTTAAATACTGTATTGAGTTAGCTTGTAATTTGTACATTTGTTTTTGTTTTCCTATTGCTAGTCAGTTATATGCAAGATATGACATGATTTGCCCTAATTAATATTATTAATAAATATTTTTATCTATAATTTGTAAATATATATGGTATAAATTATTATATTATGCAAATGTTTATTTTTGATTTATAAAAATAGTGTAAAAGTGGATGAAAGCACTAAAAAAGAAAAACGATAAACTTTAAAGCAGAGTTTTGTCTTGTGATTATGGTGGCAATAATGAGAGAACTACTGTGGCAGAATAATACTATTGTCGAACAGTTTTGCATCAAATCTTTGCATAATAATAGTTTTTTGTTGCTTAAATATGTTATGAAATTGAAATTTTTTAGATTAATTCGTAAAAATTTTGTTAGACTAAATATTCATTTGCCTAATACATTTTATTGGCCTGACAGCGAATTTAATATAGATAATAAAAATATTTACTTTTTAATTTTACATAAAAAATGTAAAGAATTGTTTTTAATGTAATAATAAAATTGTAAAAAACTAAACAAACTAATACATCTATGCAACAAATT